GAGAGGAGGAGGAGGGGGAGGGAAGAGGAGGTGTTTGTGTGTGAGTAAGGAAGGAGGAGGAGGGGGAGGGAAGAGGAGGTGTTTGTGTGTGAGTAAGGAAGGAGGAGGAGGGGGAAGGTGTGGGTATGGGAAGAAAGTGAGAAGTGTTTGTGTGTTGAGGAGGTGGCGAGATGATATATGTATGTGGGGGAAGGTGTGTGTGTGTGTGTATGTACGTGTGTGTGTGTACATCAAAGGTGCAACAGGCCGACGAGATAATTAACATGATATACAACTGCAGGTAGTGAGTGTCAGGTGAGTAGGCAGGTAGACAGGTACAGGTACTTCATTCACGTGAGTTGTTGGCCTTTAAACGCCTCAGCTGACTCATTCACAAAGAGGACGAGAGAGTAAGTGGTGAATGACGTCAGCAAGGAGAGTAAACAGGGTGGACGTTCATCTTTATTTTTATAATTGAATGTTATTGTGTGAATGTTTTTGTTTTTCTGTATTTTTTGTAATTATTCAATATTTCGTTCGTGGGTTCGTGTATGGTTTCGTGCGTCCGTGTGTGTGTGTGTGTGTGTGTGTGTGTGTGTGTGTGTGTGTGTGTGTTTTTGTGTTTCATGCGTCTGTGTGTTTGTCGGGTACAGGAGTTATCAGTACAAGATCTCTCAAACACATTGTTATGGGTTTCGACCTTTCTTGGTGTGTGTGTGTGTGTGTGTGTGTGCAAGACTATCACAACAACAAGATCTCACGAGAGTTTGCTTTAATTGGCATTTTCCCTCATATATTACTCAAACTTTACGACCCCTTGTGTGTTGTGAGAGAGAGAGAGAGAGAGAGAGAGAGAGAGAGAGAGAGAGAGAGAGAGGTGTATAGACTTTACTGATGATGCTATATATCCTATCAGTTATATTATGGTCAACAAAATCTACCCGTGACTTAAGCCTTTGTGTACAAGTGACTCCCAAAAGAATAGAAGGACTCAGCACCAACATCTAGATACCGAAAATCTCACCAATTATCCCAAATCCGTAATATTTCCGGATTATCGAACGTCTAGCATCACTCCATGTTACCCTCTTCTTCAAATTCCGGATAATTTCGACGAGTTGGAATTTTCAGATGTTTGAGAATTTTTACTCTTATGATGAGAAGAATTTGGGACAACTTGATGGAATTCAATTTCTTTGTGTTTTCTTAACGGGATGACGTCAGTGTTGGCCAGCGTTTGCTCTTGTTATGAGAAGAAGAAATCCAATTGGCTTTTTTTCTTCTACAGTTAAAACACACACACACACACACACACACACACACATGCACTTTCATTCCCCTCCCTCCTTCCTACCTAATATCAAACGTTCCTCCCTTTCCCCTCTCTCCTCCCTCCCTTTCTCTCCCTCCTTCCCTCCCTCCCCTGGTGTTATTATGGATGATGGATTGACAGGGTTGACGGGTTGAACAATAGTAAGGCGAGTCTACCCCTGTGACCTCACGTTCTTCTCTCTCTCTCTCTCTCTCTCTCTCTCTCTCTCTTTCTCTTTGAAACTTCATATACTTTCCTCTCTTCTTACCTACGTCTCCCTCTTCCTCCTCCTCTTTTACTGGTTTTCTCTCCCTCCTACTTCACATCCCCTTCTCTTCCCCCTCCTGCTTCTCCTCCTCCTCCTCCTCCTCTTCCTCCAGCTGCTCTTTCATTACTCCCTCCTTCCTCTCCCCCCACTCCTTGTCCCCCTCCTGAAGCCTCCAAGGAGACCTATTTTACGACAAAATCAAGGGATGAACTCTCCCTCCCTTCCACTCTCCCTCTTCTCTTTCACCATCACTACCTCCACCCTTCTTTACTGTCTCCCCTACTCTCCTTTCCTTTCTCCTTTCACCTCCCTCTCCTTCAGTCTCTCTCTCTCTCTCTCCTTTCTTTTCCCCCTCCCTCCCCCCCTCCTCCTCCCCTCACCCCTCCTCCCCTCCCTCTTCCCCCCCTCCACCCTCCCCCCCCCCTCACCCTCCCCCCTCCCTCCCCCCCCCTACTCTTCCCCCTCCCTCACTCCTCAATTTCTTTCCCTCACGCCCTACGCTATTGTTGGACGCTCAGGCAGAACACTTTATTACTGTATTCTTTAACTTTTTGTATTCTTTTTTTTTCGCTCTCGTCATAAAGTTGCAGAAGCCTTGCCACTGGGTGTTGGTTGGGTGGAAGGAGGGCAGGAGGGCAGGAGGGATGGTTTGAGGGTGGTAGGGAGGGAGGGAGGGGGAGAGGTGGAGGGGTTTTCTTACAGGTAGAGAGCAGTGCAGGTTACTTGTTGCACGTGACTATGCCTTGCTGCAACACACACAAACACACGTACACACACATACACTGCCATCGCTTCTCAAATTAAAAAAAAAATAACAACTTCATGCACAGATTAGGAAATTAACAATGCAGGTGCAGTGTCCTTCTGTATGTAAGTGTCGTGATTGTTATTTATTATCGTGTTTATTACTTCCTCCCTTCGGTTATCTCCCCCCCCACCCCATCACTTCATCTCCCTTCCTCCATCCCTCCCTCTCCCTCTCTCCTTCACTCTCTCTTTCCTACATTCTCCCTTGAGTTTGCTATTTCTCGTTATATTTTCTCCCTTTTGACTCCCTCTTGCCTCCCTCCCTCCCCCCTCCCTCCCTCCTTCCCTTCCTCCCTCTCCCTCTATTTCTCATAACCCATTAGGTATCATCGGTAATGTTTCGCGTTATTGAGATAATGGTCACACCGTCCGTCTAGTTTGGCAAATTATACGCAGTCATGTTTCTCATTATTAGGGTCTCTCTCTCTCTCATATTATTAGTCCCTCCTCTTTGCCTACCTCCTCTACCCCCTCCTCCACCACACCACCAATTCAACGCCCTCTCCAATACCACACTCCACTACACCACCATACAAGATTCAACCACTACTACCACAATCCACTACCTCCTCCACCACCACCACACTACCCCCACCACAATACGTCATAGAAGCAGACTCGGTGGCTGGGACTGGGCTGGGGAGGGTTGTCGACTAGTGCATTCAAGCGTTCTCTTCCTTTACCTTGGTCGACAGATCTGATCATCCCCCGATATTACGGTTTTTTACACTGTCGAGTTTGAGTCACGTTCAGGTGATCACTTCTGTCCGGGGCGTGTTGTAGTGTGTGTGTGTGTGTGGAGGGTGAAGGTTGAGTGGGAGTTGGTGGGTGGTGGAGGTTGGTAATTGGTGGAGGCTGGTGAGTGGTGGAGGTTGTGGGTGGTGTAGGCTGGTGATTGGTGGAGGTGACGGTGGTGGAGGCTGAGGGTGGAATGTTATGAGTGGTGGAGGTTGGTTGGTGGAGGAGATTGAGAGTGGAAGGTTATGAGTGGTGGAGGTTGAGGGTGGTGTAGGCTGGTGCTTGGTGGAGGTTGAGGATGGAGGCTGGTGAGTAGTGTAAGGTGAGGGTGGAGCTCCGTTGAAGGTGGAGACTGGGGGTGGAGGCTTACGACTGACTGGTGGAGGAGGCTGAGGGTGGAAGCATTATGTGACGTAAAGTATTATTTATATGGTAATGTGTCGCTGTTGGGGGTAGAAGGAGGAGGGGAGGGGGAGCGCTTGAATGAACAGCCTCTTTTGTTGACACGATCAGCTGATTCCGACTTCAGCACTGTGTTCGAATCATGGCTTGAGCTTCCGCTTAAACATTTCCTAATCCTCTGGGCATTAATCTTCCAAAACCGACTAATCTTTACTATCTTAATTATATATATGCATCCGTACACCTACAAGGCATTTAATTAAGATATTAGTATATAATTTAACGTTTTTGGTGAGTTAAGTAAATATTGGGGAAGAGGAAAGCAAGGTCGCACTTTGTCTGGATATGTTTTACAACAAAATCAACATTACGCCGCCCGGGGAGAGTCTTGACATAAGGGCTATGATGCTTGGCAGTTGTGTGGGAGAAAGAACCTAATTGGTAACCTCCATAGTGCACCCTGGAGGTAGTGGTAGTGGTGTGTGGTGGTGATAGTGGTGGCGGGTAGTAGTGGTGTGTGGTTGTGATGGTGGTGAGTAGTAGTTGTGGTTATGGTTGTGTGTGGTGACTTGTGATGTAATGGTAAGCATACCCGACTCACAAGCAAGTAGTCCCGGGTTCGATCCCCAAGCAGGGTGAAACTATGAGCAAATTTCTATACCCCCTTTGCCTCTGTCTACCCAGCAGTAATTGGGGACCTGAATGTGAATCGATTTGCAGATTGTGTTCGGGGTGGTGACCGGATAAAACCCCAACGGACAAAACCCCAGTCTCATATAAAATAAAATAAAACACTTTTATGTTTTGTTTAGGTTAGGTTAGGTTATATTAGGTTAGATTAGTGTTGATAAATGACAACCCCGTTGGGGTTTTGTCATGGAACCGTTCGGGGTAATGGTTAGCCAGTGCAGTTGGCGAGTTGACCGGTCTTCTTGGGTTATTCCTCAACATTGGGGTGTAGTTGTTGTGTTGGTGACAGCTTCTACTTCAGGGATAGATAGATAATGTGAAAGATAGATAGACAGAAAGCTAGACAGACGGACACACATTCAGTAAAAACATTCAGTACAAGGTCACATGGATCCAATACAAGTATACAAACAAACACAAAATACAGCAATATCCATCATCTCAACATTATACATTACAAACACGGGAAAAATAAATCACTGTAGTAATATTTTTCCTTTGGGGGGAGGGGGAGGGAGGGGGGGAGGTGAGAGAGCAGTAGTGATGATGATGATCACGACATTATTCCCGCCATTGTCAAGGTCGAAAATATTGTGTTCGAACATCAAAAAATGAAAATAAATCATACAGCATTCATTTACACACGATAAAAACATAAATTTAAATAATCATAATGTATTTGAGGAATTTATGATGTATTTGTTGTAATTTGAAGGTTGTGAAGCGGAGGAAAAATAAGCAGGTGAAAATAGCGGTGTGGGGACTCAAGGGCGGGAAATTTAAAAGGTAATGGCAGGGTATAGGAGAGGAACCATCGGCTCAGCTCTCAGTCCTGCGGGTGACCTGGCGTGGGTGGGGCCGTCGCATATCCCCCCTCCTCTGGTGGGCGTGTGACCCGGGTATATTGCTATTTATTATATAGTCGAAATATATATAGTACTTTATTATTGTGTGTTAAGTATAGTGATATATTAGTTAATTAGTGGAGATAATGGTTTGAAACGGCTTTAATTATTGGTTCATGATATTTGTGATTAGTTTTGAGTTTAGATAAGAAAGGATTATAATATAGAACATAAAAAAAGTTAATAAAAGTGTAAAATAATGAAAGACAATACAGATATTTATACAAGTTCAAGTGACGAAGATGGTTTGTGAGTGATTGAAAATAATAATAATAATAATACGTGACAGACAAACAAACACAGACACTTGTGATCAGAAAGTCTTAATGAAACAGTGATGAGAATAATGATGATTTTGAACACTAGAGAAAAAATACTTAAACAAGAAAAAAGTGTTTATAAGTATCTACAGTAGTTAAGTAAATGACAATACGAGAAATATAAACATTCAATAATATAAATCACTTAAGGTTTACGATAATTTTTTTTTATTTATATTGTTTCACCTTGTTTATATTCAAGTTACTATGTGTTTTTGTTTTGTTGTTTATTCAAGATGATGCGATTTTTATTGTTTATGTTAAGTAATGCGATGTGCTCTTGTTTTCAGCGTTGTATCTGTACCTGTATCTGTGCGTGTACCTGTGTTCTGTGCGTGTACCTGTGTTCTGTGCGTGTACCTGTGTTCTGTGCGTGTACCTGTACCTGTCGTTTCTGAATTTGCATATTGAAATGTTAACCCAAACGGACAACGGTGTGTGTGTGTATTGTTATTTTCTTAGTATAAATGTGTATAACTTTATCTGTGTTTAATTATATATTAGTGTATGAGTGTATTTATATAAGTGTATAAGTGTGTATGAAGGTACATGTATATATAAGTGTGTAAGTGTATGATATTGTATACATAAGTGCTTAAGTGTGTATATACTGTAAGTGTATGAGAAAGTATAAGTCTGTGGGAAGTATAAGTGTGTGAGGGTGTTTGTAAGTATAAGTGCATGAAGGAAGCAACAGTGGTGGAGTAATTTATCTGTGATTGTGCTTGTTAGTGGAGGAGAAACCTCGTGACTGTGGCCACTACTACCCTGCTTGTGATGATGCTCTGCTTGTGCTTGTGTACTGTGCTCTGTGGTAGTGTATTTGTGTACTGTACTGTGTTTGTGAGTCTGTGGCGGTGCTGTGTTTGTGGTGGTGTGTTGTGCTTGTGTACTTGTGTTGGTGTGTTTGTGTATTTACTGTGCTTGTGTTGGTGTGTTCTGCTTATTTACTGTGTTTTTGTTGGTGTGCTTGTGTTAGTGAGTCGTGTTTGTGTCGGTGTGTTGTGCTAGCATACTGTAATAAAGCAAAACAAAATCACAAGAATATAATTTAAAAAAAAAATCTGAATAAACTGACGACATTTAAAGAGAAGGTAACTTAAGAAGAGTATAATAATAATAATAATAATAATAATAATAATAACAATAATAATAACTATAATAATAATAATAGTAATAATAATAATAATAATAATAATAATAATAATAATAATAATAATAACTATAATAATAATAATAACTAACAATAACAATAATAATAATAATAATAAGGGCCGACTTTACCCTGGTGTTGGGAGGAATCCAGGAAGAAAGTCACAGATAAAAAGGCACGGAAAAAACCTACCCTAACCTAACCTAACCTAAGCTAACCTAAGTCAACCTAACCTACGTGCAATGCCATCATATATATATTGTGTTGTCAGTGTGTACAAGTCATGTGACTTTTTTTTCCTGTGGACTTTATTTCCGTCCACCGTTGGGAGAGCTTTGTGTTGTTTTGGTCTTGGGGGGGAGAAGGTTTGTCTGTATTAACCTTGGGTGTGACAGTGAGACCCTTGTAGCAGTGTGTGTGTGTATGTCAGGTCATGTTGAGAATTGAGTGTGTGTGTGTGTGATCGTATCCAGGATTGAGTCTGTGTGTGTATAAATTGAAATAAAATCGATTAAAATAAATTATAAAAATCAAATGATCTTTTCTTAAAATAAACTAAAAGAAGATATAAATAAAATAAGAGAAAATAAAAGAAAAAATCGAATTACCTTTTGTTAATATAAAATAAAAAGCGAATCAAGGTAAACAAAAGAGAACCTGAATTACCCTCCTCACTTCTGGTGCGGGGTTGCCAACACGTGAACTCAGATCATTAGGTTGAGCGCAAACACACTAATTCGCTTGACTGCGTAGCTGATATGTGTGAGAAGGTGTGTTTAATTGTGTGTGAGAGAGAGAGAGGTGTGCGAGTCTGTGAGAAAGAGATAGGTGTGTGAGAAAGGGGTAGAATGTGTATGTCTGCGTGTGTGTGAGAGAGATGTGTGTGTGCGCGTTCAGGTGTTCCGGCTTTGTATATGTGTACAGGTGTAGGATATAGCTGGGTAAATGCGTTCTTTATGCGTTGAGTTATGAGGTGTTGTGTTAGGCGTTGTGTAGGTGGAGAGTAAGGCGTTCTGTAATGCGTTCACTTAGCGGCGTATCGTGTTTACTTACGCATTTTTACTAGAATTTAACGTTGGTTGTTTACAGGTTAAATTCTCGATATATTTTAGGATTTGCTTAAAATTTAACATAATTCAGATAAATCCTCGTCAATGTTAAATTGTTCGATATATTTAGACATAATTTAACGTGTTCAAGCGTGTTAATAGTGTGTTAAATTGTGTGATGGTTATAGTAGAGTTAAGTTTAGTGGTGTGGTGTGTGACGTTATGTGGCGTGGTGTAATGTGGTGTGGTTAAGCATGGTGTAGTGGTATAATGTGGCGTGGTGTAGCTTGATATGGTGTAGTGTGATGTGGTGTAGTGTCGTGTCGTATAGTGTAGTGTGATGTATATGGTGTGCAGTGTGGTGTGGCGTGGTGTAGTATAGTGTGGCATGGTCTGGCGTAGTGTGGTGTGACGGCGCAGTACCAGCATGAGGGTAGCCTTCTACTTGGTGGCCCAGATGAAGGCATAATGGTGAGGTATTTTGGTGCCTTTACTGACCCAGGGAGAGTGCCAGGGTGGTTGAGGGTGAGGGAGAGAGTGTCAGGGTGGTAAAGGGTGAAGGAGAGTGTCAGGGTGGTTAAGGGTGAGGGAGTGCCAGGGTGGTTAAGGGTGAGGGAGAGAGTGTCAGGGTGGTTAAGGGTGAGGGAGAGAGTGTCAGGGTGGTTAAAGGTGAGGAGAAATTAATCAGGGGGTGGTTAAGGGTGAGAGTGTCAGAATTGGTTAAGGGTAGAGAATGTAGGGGTGGTTAGGGAAGGGTGCAAAATTGGTTAAGGGTGCAGGAGGCTTGTAGAGTGGTTAAGGATGAGAGAGGGTGATTAAGGGTAGAGAGAGTGTCAGAATTGGTTAGAGTGATGAGGGAGAGGGTGTCGGGGGATGAAGGTGTTGGGGAATGAGGGTGGAAGGGAGGGTGTTAGGGTGGCTAAGGGAAAGGGTGGAAGGGAGGGTATTAGGGTGGCTAAGGGAGAGGGTGGAAGGGAGGCTAAGGATAAGGGAGAGGGTGTCATGGAGGGTCAGCAAGAGGGTACCAGGGAAGGTGATGGTGTCAGGGTGAATAGGATGAGGGAGGAGCCAGGGAGATTAAAGGAAAATTTTTAAGGGTGATGAAACGGCTGTCAGGGAGTTATTTTGGTCACTAAGGGAGAATTAAGGTCATGGACAAATCTGTAGTGTGTGTGTGTGTGTGTGTGTGTGTGTGTGTGTGTTTTGCCCCCATGATTTATATCTTTATCTATCGACGTCATGGGCAAGTGATAGATGTCTTACCCATGGCTGTGGTAAATCTATTTTTCTCGTGTGTTACATAGAAGCATATCTTTGACCTCTGTGTATGAGGGGGTGGTGATGTTAGGGGTATGGGGGTGTGGAGGGGAGAGAAAGGTGGGGGTATTAGGGAGGGGTAGAGGGGGAGAAAGAGGGGGTATTAGAGGATGAGTATAAGGTGGGGGAAGAGGGAGGGGTACAAGGTAGGGGGTATGAGGGGTAGATGAGAACGTAGAGATTGGAGGGGGGGGGTATCTCGGCAAAGTATCTCACGCCCGCACTGCTCTGCCCCCTCCCCCCTCCCTCCTCCTTGCCTCCCCCTTCTCTCTTACCTCCTCCTCCCCCTTTGCCCCTCACCCCCCAATCATCTGACCTTGGCTGGAGTCATGGATATAGCAGGTGTGTTCCCAGAATTGGTCACCTGGGTATTTCCGTGTGGGGAGGCTGTGTGTCGGTATATAATTCGGGTATGAAATTAATGGTTAAAAGCTTGCATTTTAATCTAACTTTACTATCCTATTTCTGTCTTGGTTAAGTTAATTTGGGTTAACTTACTGTATGTTAACTTTGTGTAACTTATGCAGTTTTAACAACCTAACCAAGGAAAATTTAACCTAACCTAACCAAGGAAAATTTAATCTAACCTATGGAGGAGGAGGCTGGTGAGAGAGTAATCTGGAGGAGGAGGAGGAGAGGAGAGGAGGGAGAGGAAGGAAGAGAAAGAGGACGACACAGTGTACGGGACGAGAAGAAGAGAGAGGAGGACGTGGAATAGGAGAGGAAGGAGGAGGAGGAAGGGAAAGTGTAGTAGAATAAGGGAGAGGACGAACATGAGGAGAAGAAGAAGGAGGAGGAGGAAGAACAACACCCTGCATACCTGTCATGATGTATAGTTACTGGTCAACGTTGTCTGGCGCCGCTGTGGTGCTGGAAGCGTCTGGCGGTGGTGGTGGCTGAGTCTGGCGGTGGTGGTGGCTGAGTCTGGCGGTGGTGGTGGCTGAGTCTGGCGGTGGTGGTGGCTGAGTCTGGCGGTGGTGGTGGCTGAGTCTGGCGGTGGTTACTGGTACAGGGTGGTTCAGGACGTTGTAAAATTCGTTGTGATTGGACTGTTCAGATGGCAAGTTCTTATTATTATATTAACTGTACAATGGGAGGATCTCGTGTCAGATTTACCTCCGTTCGATAGTTAATTAAG